CGGGATGAGAGGAGGATGGACCGTGGCCCTGTCTCTGCCCTGCAGCACAGCCTACTCCTGAATCCACGCCTCACTTTCTCATTCCTCTGCCCTTGCTACTCCCTTGTCCTCTGCAAGGCCTTGTCAGCTCCCTTTTCCTACCCAGCCCTTCCCCCGGTCCCAGCTCTTAAGGGTCTCCTCCCACTTTTCATTTTGGAAGTCTCCGTGTCCCTTCCTTGTGCCTGACCTGAAGTAGCCAGACAGTCGTTACTTCTGATGTGAGGAGGCTGCCTGACTCCGTGTTCCACCTGGCTGGTGTGGATCCCGGCGTGCAGGACATGGTCCCTGTTGTGTTGGGTGCCCCAGCTGTGTGTGATCCTCAGTAAAGCCTGAAAAACAATTGCTCTGAAATCTTTTTTACTCTTCTTGGCTCCCTGAGCTCAGGAGCTGTCACTGTTCCTCTCAAGGCATTGTCCTCTGACTTTGGTAGTAGTGGGTTCGTAGGGTAAGTTGGATTTTGAGACTTTTGAGTTCCAATTCTGAAATGCACAGAACAGAAAACCCCAGGAGGCTCTGTAGAGAATAAAGGGACCGTGTTCTGGGCCTGCACCTCTCATTTCCTTCTGTAGCGTTCCGGAGCCAGTGTGGTGAGGCAGGGCTGCATGTCTTAGTCAGTAGAGCCAAGGGTGAGGAGAGTCGCCATCTGTCACAGAGCACACTGATGCAGCCTCTGAGCTCCCACCTCACCTGCAGGCACGTGGTTGTCTGACTTAACCCAGATGGGATGAGCTCTGCCTGTCCTCCACCCCTACTTCTCTCCTTACCCTGGGGAGTTAATAGTTTTATGAATATTTGATAAAGGTGAGTTCACACCATGTAATCCACAGTGCTACACAGCTTCCCATATTTCGTCCTCACTGTCTATCCACTTGCATATTCTTACTTTTTTGCTCATTAATTCTTTTCTTGCACTTTAATTTTTAAACCCTTTCATTTCTAAGTCTACCCACCTGTTTTTTATATCCACTTTGCTTTGTACACATTTAAACAAGATGGTCTTTTGCCATAAAGTACAGTATCCTTCTGAAGGGCATTGGATAGG